TATAACGGTAGGGTATATATAAGATAGAGAAGACTCTAAGGATATGTATTCCTATATAACGAGAGACTAAACTAAGGGAAAGAAGAAAGAAAGGAAGGAAGGAAAGAGTGCGGCGCTATACTTTTATATAACGACTACCCTTACTAAGGCCCTAATATACTAAGCCGCTCTTCCTATATAACCAATTAGAGATATACGCTTATCCCGTACCTCGTCCGGGATAACGTCGGCCCGTTACGGTTCGTCCGTACTTAGCGCGGTGTTAATCGGTATGGGACATGTCGTCGAGTCAGGTCAGATCTGGCTAGATCTGGTCAGATCTGGTCTGTCTGTGCTCACGGCCGTGACACTTAGCGCCTTTTCTCGGACCTTATCCCTAATAATCTCTATTATTAGGATCCTTAAAATAGTATAAGAAGAATTATTAGAGAGTCTTAGAATAGGATTATTAGATAAAGAGTTAGAGAGTTAAATATATATCTTAATTTATGTAAAGCTATTCTTAAGATATTAACTTCTCGTACTATTAAGAGCTTCTCTAGTAGTATAAGAATAGAGATCCTATTTATCTCTTTCTATATATATATCGTAGGGGTCGCCTTAGGACTTAGAGACTATTAGTCTTATAAGGGCTATTCGCCTATAAGAGCTATTCGCCCTATAAGAGCTATTTACCCTAATCGCCCTATAGGTACTATTCGCCTAATAGGGGCTACTCGCCCTATGGGGCGTTGTCGGTCGGGGAGCCCGGGTGATATTGAAGGTGATCGTGTATCCTTAAGATAGCCCTAGAGGCGGGTCTGGAGGTGATCCTACGTCCTTAAGATGGCCGTGGGGGTGATCATACATACAGTCCTAAGGGCGGTTATGGGGATTGCCTGCTGGACACTAGGAGTACCACCCTCGCCGCCCACAAAGTGTATTGGCATTGTAGCCACGCGGGTGTGTTTTCCTACCAGTGAGAGAGACCTACTCTCGACCTGCCGCGACGAATAACTACCCACTGAGTCATGCCGCATAGATGTTGACTTCGAGTCTGACTTGGGTCTGTGGTGCCACGATTCCACCTTTTCTTGTCCAACGCCAGTAGGATTTTAAGGGCCAAGAGAGAGGGAGGAGAGAGACATTGATCGTGGTAATCGAGAAGGGTTCCGGCTGACCAGGCGCGATTTCAGGATCCTACAATCCGTTAGTCGCACAGTTCCCCAGTTCAATAATTTATAAGGGAGGGCGTTTAACGAGTAGATTAACGGTGTTGAGGTGAAGTTGTTGGAAGTCAAGTTGGTGGGCTGCGGGATGGATTATCACTGCGCGGACGCAGGAATCCGGAGCCGGATAATCTCACAAAATCCGCCAAAGTCACGTTATCTGTCTTTATCCTGTTGAGCGAAGCGAAAACAGTATTATAGGGCAACTTCGTTAAAGAAGCCGCGGATTTGATTGGTGCGGAAGAATATTGAGATCCGATTGGCTGTTTTTTCTAACGTTACGTGCTAGTTGGCCTTTGACCAATAAGGTGAGAATATGGACAGCGATTTTCAAAGCGTCTCTATCACTATCACTACCACTGCCACTAGCACTACCATTACCACTACCACTACCACTACCACTACCACCACTACTACTAGTGTCTCGTGCGTAGTATCAGTGGGTAGTGTGTAGTGCCAGTACGCAGTGCGTAGTGCCCGTGCCCGTCTTTTTTCACCTTCAGTCTTTTCGCCACGCTTAGCAGGTCGCCTTAGGGAGTCACGCGGTGAAAACGCCGCCCTACAGCGTATTTTAAGGCTGTTCACAGCCGCTTCCCATCCGCAGACCGACGGTCAGACGGAGCGTATGAACCAGACACTGGAAGTGTACCTACATTGCTACGTGAATTGCGAGCACTGCGATAAAAAACGAAAGGAGATATTCTTAAATATTGGGAGCCGAGTTATGCTCTCGTCCAAGAATATCCGCACCTAATGCGCGAGTGAGAAGCTCGCAGACCAGACTATTGGCACCTTCACCATCGGAGAGCGTCTCGGGGAAAATGCCTACAAACTGGACTTGGCCAGGAAGTATGGCCAACCCCACCACATCTTCCACGTGTCCTTATTGCATGCACATCGCAGGCGGCCGGGAGAGACCACCCCGGAGCCGATGGATATCGATCACGAAAAGGAATGGGAGGTGGAGCGGACTTCAGGGATGCGGAAACGACAAGGTCAACTGGAATACCACGTCCGCTGGATGGGAACCGAAGGAACATCTCCGCAACGCACACGAGAAACTTGAGGAGTTCGAGCGAGAACAAAGACGAGAGCAGCGAATCAGACTGTCATTGCCGGTGGTCCCAGACCCCAGCGATCCGAGCGCGGATCCATATCTCCTCGCACAAGGCAAGGCAAAGAAAAACATTTCAAACTTTTATCTGGCCGACTTATGCTCTGACGCTCAACGACCACGAGGGTCGCAGGCGAATTTGCTGCGGCGCGAGGACGGACGCCACCAAAAACACCCAAGCCGGAGCGCTGCGCGTGCGCGCGCGACTCAAGGGCAATGCCTCCCTGGCTCCCTAACGACCACCCGTCGGGAAGCACCTCACTCCCCCTCGTCCTCGTCCTCAGCGTCGTTCTCTTCGTCGTCCTCTTCCTCTTCCTCCTCTTCCTCCTGCTCGGAGCCGGAGTCCTCGTCCGGCCAACGGCGAGGCCCCAACTTGTTCTGAAACCAGTTAGCATGCGATAAGGGCGCAGGAAGTAGACGGTACTCACCACCTCCCGGAAGGAGTCCACCCCTGCCCGGATGGCGTCCAAGATGCTCACCAGTATCTGGTCGGAGGCGACCGAGAAGCGGCCGGAACGCGCGCGGGTACGGGTGATGCCGCCGGAGGTCTTTCGCGCGACGTCAGCCCCCGCGAGGCGCATGTCGTTCGACAGGGCGAGGGCGGCGGCCTGGATGGCGCTCACCGTGGGAGCATTAACCTCCCCACGGACGCGAGCGAGGTTGGCATTCCACAAGCGGTTGGCGCGCGACACGAGGGAGGGAGGGACCTGTGACCGTTAACTAGGGCATCGCATGCGGTAAGGACGCGACTCACGGGAACGCAGCCGAGGTCGCCACCCCGTTTGGCGCCCGAGCAGTATGCACAATTCTTGGATCGCAGGCCCTTGGGAGTTACGAACTTGCACTCCAGGGCCTTGCCGGCGCCGGTGTTGCACAAGCGGCGCAGACAACGACAGCAGGCCTCAGCCTTCTTGGCTACGGTTTTGGCACGGCGGGAGGGAGAGGGCCCGGGGGCATCTTGTGGGACTATGTTGTCAGTCAGCTAAGACTCACATACGGGTCGCCTGACGTACAGCGGCGGGAAGGCTGGCGGTTGTCCCTTGGTTCTTTACCACCCCCACTGACGGCAATAGGCCCACCACCTGCAACACGGGACGACACTGCAGCGGTCAGCAGTCGAACAGCAGTGGATCTTGCACTGCTTACTGGTTGAGGAGCGGAGTGGATGTGAAGTCTGCGAAGCGTGCGTCAGAATGAGCGTTTTCATTTGCGTATCACGTGAGATTTGCATAACTTACTGCTGCAAGCGAAGCTGGCTTGGTACGCGAACAGGATCCTGGTCATCGAGTCAGCAAAGGATATCCGCATGAGCAGCGGAAAGGAGAAGCACTCGCAGTGTTGTGTTGTTGTGGTGGTGGTCTGTAGAGAAGGAAAGGGAGAAGAAAAAGTGAGAAACTTCTTCTGCAATATATATCCCCGCACAGTCGCAAGGAAGGTCCACCAGAACCAGTGCCAACAAAATGCAGGCACGACGCACGCAGAACGTATGCGGCTACAATTACAGCTACTTCTACGGACACAGGGCTTTCACACGGCTTGACGGAAGCTGAAAAGGGCAAATGGGATACAATGCAGGCAGAAAAAGGAATCCGCTTGATCTCGATCCCGGGTTTATTCGGGCTGAATCTTATTCTGGGCCTGGGATTGAGGGGTAAGATGGAAATGTCACGCCCTTTTCTCATCTCAAAGACACCTCGGTGCTCGGAAGAGGAAGAATGCTATGTGACATAAGCTCTCGGTAAAGGCGTCCGCCGTCTCGTGCTTTATCTGACGACAGTGGTTCCGAGGCAGGCGATAACTCTGACGACGCAAGAAGCGCAGCAAGCGGCCTTGTATTCCAATGCGCCGTGCGAAATTCAGGCGGCTACCCCGCTGCAATTTGCCCTGACCTGCCACCAGCCATCCGCGCCCTTCCGGCCAACGAGCACCCGAGCCCATGAAGAAAGGCCCTGAATTGCTATCGATAGCAGTCGGTAAGCTTTTTAAGGATGCGCATTGGCTTTCAAGGTGGTCGCAGTGTCGGGGTTGAAGACAAAGCCGTTGGCCAACAATCGGACCGTTCCGACCAGCTTCACGACATCTGCGCTGGTTTGTCCTCCGCAAAGAGTTATGCGTTGAAGCTCAGAAATACAGATGGTCATGAATCAACTACTCGAGACCCCACATAATATTGCCGGTCGTCATCTGCGTAGCTCTCGCCAGGCAAAGAAAGCGGTTCCGTGACATCGCAAAATCGGTCGCGTGCTGAAGAAGAGAGAGAGAGAAAAGAGCACCTTGTTAATCTGTAGACATTGAATGCAGATGGCGGTCCTGGCGCTTTCAGGGGCACTTCCGAAGATGATGAGACTGATGCTGATTGAATGTTTGCAGGCAAAAACCGTTGTCGGCTCAACGTGGTAAGGCATCCAGACCTGGAAGATAACGAAAACAGTTTTCCACCTTCAACACCGTGCGACACAGTGCGCTGCACCCAAGCTCTTCAACCAGCTGAAATAGACCTGTCTCGTTCCCTGCACGGAGTGCAAGATGGCACATGAATCACGCTCAGGAATCGGAGCTCGAGTCTCTGCCCTTGCCAAGGAAGCTGCTCTCAAATTGAAAGGCAAAACCGGAACGACATCCGAATATTCCTCTATTGTTGCAGTCTGGAAGAATCCCTCCGGTGTCGCCACCTCTCTGACCAAGTCGTTCAGCGGGTACGCGGACCTCACGATCGCGTTTCAAGTCTTCGGAGGCAGGCCGATCCGCTACCTTCTTTTATTCTTTCTGATTCTTCCGAGTCTCAACTCACCTGTTCGGCACATGTGACAAACCCCCGAATTTCCACTCAACATTTCTCATAGGATCTTGCCGGATGGATCATCCTATCCTTCATTCTCCTGGTCTACCGCGCAAACGGGAATCAACGTCAAAGACCGGATTCCGTCCAGCCTCGCAAATTGGTAGAGACTTCCGCGAGAGCCCCGCGACGAAGGAAAGAAATATATCACTCTCGATTTCTCAGCAGCTTAGCGGTCATACGAGAAAGTCGAGTCCTGCGCACCATGGATGTTGAGGCTCTGTGGCGCCGACCCAGCGTTACAAACAGTGTGGAAGAGCCGGCAATGTCTGGCCGCGGATATAGGTGAATTCATCCACAATCAGTCTCCGAAATGCGAACTTCGATGATCCAGGAGAGACCGAGGAGAAATCGAGTCTGCTCACATGATAAGGGAATGACAACGGACGTCGAGGAGTCTCATTCACGGAATTATCACGACATATCGCGCCAAAAAGATATCATCGTTCGAAGAGTTTGGCGGATTGCGGGCAAGCTCAACCCACTCCTTTGATTGTTTTCCGACTGACATTCCTTGCCGTTTGGTCGTCTCTCGGCCTCTTCCACGTAGCCCAATACCTCGGGAGCTTGGAAGAGTTCTGTTCCCACTGGCGTCCGCAGTGCCGTCTGGTCGGAGGCGATGCAAGTTCGTGGTCTGATTTGCAATCAGTCGTGCACCCAAACAACTGCCTTTTTCGTAGTCAAAACCGGTTGTTCCTCGATCGCCTCCCGTTCCATAGCTGGGTTCTGACGCATTTGCTTTTGGCTTCAGTTGTTGCTGCTAATCCTGAACTTTCGGAGCTTTTCGCAGTAGAAAGTTTCCGTTTTGCAAGCTCAACTCTCCCGGCTGTTCGAATCGAGCAGGACAGACCATTCCGATAGACTGAGACGGAGATCAAAATCTTCATCGCTTTCAGCGTCGAAAGCGGCACATGCGCTATCTATCTTCGGATCACCAATCTGAGCGCCGACGACCACTAGGCTGGTCACTTTGATGGTAGGCAGCGACTCAGTGTCCTTCAAGAGCCTTCTTCCAGTAGGCAAACTAGTCGGGCCGGAAACGTGAGGTCCTGGCTGTCTATGACCGAGATGTCTTCAAAGAGATAAGCAGGGTGTTTTGGAAAGTTTGGCCAAAAGCACAAAACAACTTGACATGGAAGAGAGCGTTTGCAAAAAGATGCGGGCGTAAGAAAATCTAGCTCTACTATAGGGCGATAGACCTATCGCCAGTATTCGAATGCTTTAAAGAGCTGAATCACCGTGACTGGTCTTCTCTTTGACTTTTTCTTCCAGTCGACTCGTGTGGACGCAAGCTCCCCTTTCCGTCACTGTCTCATAAAGTCCATCGCCAAACCCTTGATTTCGGAAGAATAAGACGCTGTGCTCGGCAATCAACCGTGCCGACTCAACCTTTTGCTGGTGGGAGAGGTCTTTGATATCAAGCCTGAGGACCACGGCGAGCACGTCATTGCGGCCAGCGAGCCCACGATTTACAAGATCGAGGATGTTAAGCCTTTCTACTCATCCACGACCATGTCACTCTTGAGGTTGATCAGCAAATATTGGCCAAGGCCTCGATGGCTTGAGCATGGCGCTGTTGTCGCGGGGCGGCCGCAGCGAAGAGGACGTGCAGGCAGTCGAGAAACACACATGGCCTGTGAGTGCGAGAGAGAGCCCGTTTTTTCTCGCTATTTGGCGGAAGACTCTCCGGTAATAATGATATAAGTCAAGACACAGGCAATCTCTGAGAGAGAATAAATAAACAACGGAAAGGCTGGACAAGGGTGATGTAGAATGGATCATTTATGCGGTGGATGTATAGGAGCATGATAATGTATTCGATTGGACTATTCGGGATCTCGAAAGGCTTTCAAGTGTGAACCAATAAAAACATAATGTGAGGCGTGAGCGAACTGGGGCTTCTGGAGGCACCAGCGAAGTGGGGAGAGTCGTTCTAAGGGTGCAATAGGTCTGAGGGTTGTTCTAGAGGTCCTCCTGCACGCAGTCCTAGACGTTACCCTAGGGGTAGAGCCGAGGGTGGTCCTACAGGTGATGCTGGTGGTGGTCTTCAATATCATCCTAGAGACTAGGGATTAACCACTGGGCACCAGGAAGGTCACCATTGCCGCCCACAAAGTGTATAGGTATTATCGCCTAACAGACATGTCTTACTGGAAACCACAGAGACCTACGCTCGACTGACTACGACGTATGGCCTTGCTGAGGGTCTAGTCTTCCGGTCACCCTGCACTTCTCGTCCTATGTGATCGACTCTCTACATTACATGAATTGAGCGTTAATGACGCACAAAACCTTGGTCTGTCGTTCGGCGATGAGTCTCTGGTGGGACAAATCACCAAAATCCATAACGCTTCTGTCAAAAAGGCATAGGATGGATACCAAAATGTCACTGACAGACTCTGGACCGTCGAAAAAAGAGCTGCCACGGTGAATAAGATCAATGAAATTATGGAAGAAGTAGATGTTGCCCTAACCCTATTGGGAAGGTTAGCCGACTGAGTGACACTGCGCCACTGCCTGCCGTAGGACACGCTAGTGCGCTAGCGTGTAACTACTAGATAGATCTTTTCTAGTCATACAGAAAACTGAGAATATAACTAAGTAGTCCCAAAGTGTCACCCGGGCTTCCCGGCCGACAACACCCCATGGGGCCAACGGCCCTCAAGTGCCAAGGCGGCCCCCATAAGGTATATACAGAAAGAGATAAATAAGACCTCTATTCTCGCACTACTAGAGAGGCCCTTAACAGTGCGAGAAGTCGATATCTTAAGGATAGCTTTATAT